GGCTGAGGCAGGAGAATTGCCTGAACCCAGGAGGCGGAGGTTGCGGTGAGCCAAGATCGTGCCATTGCACTCCAGCCTGGGTAACGAGCGAAACTCCGTCCCAAAAAAAAAAAAAAAAAAAGACTATTAGACTACTCAAAACTAACAGTGAGTTGTAAATCTTTCTAGATGGAGTCCTCAACCTCATTAAAATTTATCACAAGTTTGCTTAGGCATTTTATCATGAAGACTAATTTCTTCCCAGAGGGGCTGTCTATACATTTGATTTTCAAGAGTCCTGTCACAGATTAGAACTTTCTTACTGTAGACTAAAACAATCTGGTCCTAGTGATCTTTTATGTCACCATATTCCAACTACATTCAACTGCCTATAGATCTCAAAGCTAAAAAATGGCAATGGACCAAAAAGTAAACATGCCAGTTGGTAATCCATGTACTTACAGGCATGAACTGTTGACTAAGGGTTAGGTTGAGTTTGAAGCAAATGAATAAAAATATTTATCCAGTGATTTACAAAGCAGTTTTATGTCTATTATCAATAGAACATTTTCACAGCCCTGCTAAATATTAAGTATTGCTATTATCCTAGTTTTACATAGAAGGAAAGTGTTACTCAGAATTGAAGTTTGCTTAAGATTCTGTAGCTTCTGAATGACAGGCCTAGGATTGGGATTTAAGTTATTTTACTCTGTTCCTTTTTTTAAAATCCTGACATGTCCCTTTGTTTCCTCCAGATTAATTCTTTAGTGTTCCAATATACAGACTGCTAGAGTCTCTAGAGAGACTACGAGAGTAATCTAAAGTATTCTCCTGGATTGCTAACTGTCCCACTGACCTTATATACAACAACAACAAGCAATTCCCAGGTTCTACCCAATATGTATTGCAGTAGAATCTTCAGAGTGTAAACTATGTATCTATGTGTTCTACAGCAGGGGCCCTCAGTCCCCCACAGACCACTACTGGTCCAGGGCCTGTTAATAGGAACTGGTCCTCACAGCAGGAGGTGAGCTTTAATGCCTGAGCTCCGTGTCCTCTCAGATCAGCAGTGGCATTACATTTTCATAGGAGCAAGAACCCTACTATGAACTACACATGTGAGTGATCTAGTTGTGTTCTCCTTATGAGAATCCAACTAATGCCTGATGATCTGAGGTAGATCAGTTTCATCCGAAAAACATTCCCCCCATCCCTGTTCATGGAAAAACAGTCTTCCATGAAACTGGTCCCCGGTGCCGAAAAGATTGGGGACCACTGAGGTCACTCTGATAGTCAAGTTTGGAAGGTATTACCTTTAAAGCATCTAAGACCCTTTGGAAGAAAAGTAGATTCGTTTAAAAACATTACTATATTTGTGAACACTTTTTACTTTATAAACTTACGTAGGCAGCTACCTGACAATGCCTTAAAAACAGGTTCCAACTTGGTGGAGGAAACTCCAGGGTGATGGCAAGTGACAGGGTCTTGAGCAGCAAAAAATGCATTACCTAGAGTAGATATGCTGAATGAGACACACTGAACTAACACACCACCTCTTCATAAACAAGCAGAACATACCATAACTGCAAGAAAAAATAGCTTTTTCCCATGTCATTTGAAGGTAAACAAGCCGACACAATGCAAACCTGTAAAAAAATTCAAAGTCAGCTTTTTTTATCTTTTCCCCTTGATATTGAAAGAACATCTTCAAAGATCTAGTCATTTTAAAGATAGCAGTGTTTGATAACCAATCTGATTCATTGTTTATAATTATGCTTCAATTAAAAATCATTCACATGATCATTTTAAAACAGTTCATTTGCATCTTATACTCTTATATCCTTATATTTAATTGTGGAAAGAAGAATTCTCATAAGTTTAAAGAATTTCAAATATTGCCTCTTAAGTTGGGAAGGTGGTTGGAGCATATATATATATCCCTTAATAGACCACAACTCACAGGCCATGTCCCAGCCTACTCCTCTTTTCCTACTGTCAGAAACATAATATCTCGTTAGTTACTTTGTAATTTTAACCCTCTCTCTTCCACCTGTTCCACAATCTGAAATTCTAACAAAGCCACACTTCTATTACTTCTGTTAATATTTGTGGTTATTAACTTTCTTATAAACTAATATATTGCTTTTGTTTTATTTACTAGCTCTTACTCTGCTCTATGATTTTGCTTGGGACTTATTATTAATAAAGAATACACATGAATATTTATTTTTAAAATGTATATCCTACCTTGTTCCAGGAAAAATTTAACATGGCTTCTTAATAAATAAATGGGTTAATTAATAAAATAGGATAAATAGAAATATAATTATGAGAACTTAAGTGGTACCATGAAACACACTTCGAGAACTAGCCCTTCAGTGTTCATAAATTTACCTTTGCAGTGCCTCTCACAAAAAAAAAAAAGTAGTATCCTTTCTGTAACATTATGGTTAAGGTCTAAGATTCAATTGTAGGTGTGCTAGAAATGAATCCTCACATGCCTCTTAAGGAAGAAGTCACTTTTTTCATAAAATTTCTTTCCTACCTTTTTAATTTTTGCAATTTTAAAACTTTCTCATTAATGTAAAACATAGAATAAATCAGAGACCAGTATTTAAGCAACGCACTATTTTGTTTTTGTTTATAGAAAAGTGAAAACTAAAATTGAATGAAGGACTGACTTTAGCCAAATAATCAAAAGTTTTGTGTCACTTTTCCATAATAGCCATTTTTTTTTTTTTTTTTTTTTTTTTTTTTTTTTTTATTTTTTTTTTTTTTTTTTTTTTTTTTTTTTTGAGGTGAAGTCTTGCTCTCTTGCCGAGGCTGGAGTGCAGTGGTGCAATCTTGGCTTACTACAACCTCTGCCTCCCAGGTTCAAGTGGTTTTCCTGCCTCAGCCTCCTGAGTAGCTGGGATTACAGGCACATGCCACTACACCCAGCTAATTTTTCTATTTTTAGTAGAGATGGGTTTTGCCATTTTGGCTTGCCATTTGGATCTATTTGAGTGGTAAATTCCATGGTAAAGTTCTGGCTCTGACTGAGTTTTGGCTATGTCAGCTATACCTAAAGCATATGCTTTTATTTTTAAGAGGCCTAGACTTAAGATTTTTTTTTTTTTTTTTTTTAGATGGAGTCCTGCTTTGTCACCCAGTCTAGATAGAGTGCAGTGGCACGATCTGAGCTCACTGCAACCTCCACCTCCCGGGTTCAAGCAATTCTCCTTCCTCGGCCTCCCAAGTAGCTGGGACTACAGGCACACACTGCCACACCTGGCTAATTTTTTACAGGTGTGCACCACTATGTCTGGCTAATTTTTGTATTTTTAGTAGAGACGGGGTTTCACCATGTTGGTCAGGCTGACCCACCTCGGCCTCCTAAAGTGCTGGGATTAAAGGCATGAGCCACCGTGCCAGGTGCCTTCTTATTCTGTTGTCCCTTGTCAACCTCTGAGATGCCTTCAAGGAACCTCTTAAGATATCCCAGAATACCTTTTCTATGGGACCTTTTTAAAAGTAGTGTGTATTAACCTCTTTTCTAGATAGTGCTTCATACACTAGAAAGAGAAAGGCATAAAGATAGTGCCAGAGACTAAGGGAACCTGAAAAATCAAATAATTGCCTTTTGCTACTTGCTAACAGCCTAGTAAAGATTTGGTAGAAGTAGTATTTAGACCTTTGTAAAATGTTTTAGTGTCAATGGGTTTACATAATTCATCTATTTCCTATCCCATATTGCTATGGAACATAGTATATAGATCATTTAGATTCAGCTGTATGCAGCTTTTCCATTAGAGTTACTAGTGTCATCCTCAAGGTAACAGACACTAATAATTAGAACTCTCCCTCTTTGGTTTTTTGGTATCTCTCTATACTCTTGACTCTTATATAGAACAAAGAACTTTGAGTCTGGCAAGGCATATAAGACAACATGGGGAGATTGCGGAGAAAACTCACCTAGCAATGTAATATCTAAACAGCCAAGCCGGGTGACAAATGGTCAGCCTCAGCAACCAACGACAGGAGCAGCCAGTGGTGGATACATTAAACGGTATGCCAACTCCTCCCAATATTCCTGTACCTTTCTTAATGAATGGTTCACTTAGGAGATGAGTTTAGCTGTACATGACCTCTAACTAATAAGAAATAGAAATTGTATTTATTCCATTTTTATAAAATGCACTTAAAAATCTGCCTACTTTAGCTGGGCGTAGTGGCTCATGCCTATAATCCCAGCACTTTGGGAGGCTGAGGTGGGTGGTTCAGCTGAGGTCAGGAGTTCAAGACCATTCTGGCCAACATGGTGAAACCCCGTCTCTATAAAAAAACAATAAAAATAAAAAAAATAAAAATAAATCTGCCGCCGGGCGCAGTGGCTCAAGCCTGTAATCCCAGCACTTTGGGAGGCTGAGGCAGGTGGATCACGAGGTCAAGAGATCGAGACCATACTGGTCAACATGGTGAAACCCCGTCTCTACTAAAAAAAATACAAAAAATTAGCTGGGCATGGTGGTACGTGCCTGTAATCCCAGCTACTCAGGAGGCTGAGGCAGGAGAATTGCCTGAGCCCAGGAGGCGGAGGTTGCGGTGAGCCGAGATCGCGCTATTGCACTCTAGCCTGGGTAACAAGAGCGAAACTCCGTCTCAAATCAATCAATCAATCAATCAATCAATCTGCCTACTGACAAAACGTGTTTTTTTGTTTTTTGCTTTTTGTTTGTTTGTTTGTTTTTTTCTTCAATTAGCAATAATCGCGCCTCGGCTAAACCTCATTGGCTACGATACTGCCACTGCGCAAAGCTTGTTTGTTGTTTTGTTTTGAGACAGAGTCTTGCTCTGTTGCTCAGGATGGAGTGCAGTGACGCAATCTCAGCTCACTGCAACCTTCGCCTCCCAGGTTCAAGCGATTCTCTTGCCTCAGCCTCCTGAGTAGCTGGGACTACAGGTGGGCGCCACCACGCCAAGCTAATTTTTGTATTTTTAGTAGCGATGGGGTTTCACCATTTGACCAGGCTGGTCTTGGACTCCTGACCTAGGGTGATCCGCCTACCTCGGCCTCCCAAAGTGCTGGAATTATGAGCATGAGCCACCATGCCTGTCCAGACAAAATATTAACTGTGGTGGTTGCCCTTGGGTGGCAGGATTAACTTTTCTGTATACTTTTCAATACTTTTCAAATTATTGAAGTAGGCATATTTTACTTCTGTATATAGAAAAAAATATGTTTTAAAATACATCATCTTAGAGCCAGGGTCAGCTAGATTCCTATAAGAATATCTGTAATGAGCCAGAGAATCAATATTTCAGACTTTTCAGGCCATACAGTGTCTTGCAGTTACTCAATTCTGTTGTAGGGTGAAAGCTGGCATAAACAATATATAAACAAAGGAGCATAGCTGTGTTTGAATAAAACTTTATTTACAAAATCAGATGGTGGCCAGATTTTGTCCTTGGGCCGTAGTTTTCTAACCTCTGTTTTAGAGCAGTGGTTCTTTAGAACCACCTGAGGGGCTTATTAAACCTTAGGTTTCTGGGATGCATTTACAGTTTCTGATTTATTAGGTCTGGAGTGGAGTATGAGAATTAGCATGTTCCCATGTCTAACAGCTTCCCAGGTGATGCTGGGAGTTACACTTTGAGAAACACTATTTTAGAGTTGTTTCTTAATCTTTTCTTACATGGCTTTAAGACACTGTGTCCTCCTTGATGAGTCTTTCAGTTTTTATTATAGAATGTTTTCCAAGAATGGTAACCTATATTCCTTTGGATCTTATACTTGCTTAGAGTCATTTTGGTTACTTATTTTTGTGAAAATTAAATCCAGACTTACTCCATTTAAATTAAACAAAATCTATGGAATTAACTATCTTTTTGTGATAGCATAACTAATGATGCCAGAGAAGATGAAATGGAAGAGAATCTGACTCAAGTGGGCAGTATCCTGGGAAATCTAAAAGACATGGCCCTGAACATAGGCAATGAGATTGATGCTCAAAATCCACGAATAAAACGAATCACAGACAAGG